TTGACAGAAATGTAATTTGACGAGCATTACAAGTACAAAACGCAGCTTAAAATGCGAGTGGCTGCACCCCCCCCGTCCTGCTCCCTCCTGCAACAGAGGCAATAAATTGCTAGCATACCGTGAAACTAGGCCACAGACGCATGGTACTGTGGTGTTAAATCAATAACACAGAGAAAAATCCGATGTGTCCTCAGTCACGGCACGGAGCCCGGTAACGGGAGCTCAGGGGGGGGTGGTCCAGGTCTCGGCTGTCAGGCGACACCTATGGATCCCACGAGCAGCTGCACCGCTGTCCAATTACATTAATTTATGAGCCCATCAGCGGTCCCGAAGTTCTTCGTGAGAACTTCCTGGCACCGGCGAGAAGCTTGACAGCGACCGCGAGTGGACGCTCACACGCCTGCACTCCACGTCCGGAGGGAGACAGGCCTGATGCCGTGTCATGGGGGGGGGACGGGACGCTGTCGCTCTGGGGTTTCTGGAGAAGCCCAAGTGAGGAGTTCAGCTAGGTGGCTGACCACGGGGGGGCGGGGTGTGGCTGGGCAGCTCGGCACACCAAGGGGACGCCCCTGCCGGGAGGGCCGACGGCAGCTCTCAGAGCTGTAATGAACGACCGCGCGGTTATATAAGGAACAACCAAGCGCGAGAATGGGGGAGACACACTGGTAATTAATGAGCTTGCTGTCTCATCTGTGCCAAAGAAACCCAATAATAATGGAGCATTAATAATGTTTGCTGTATGGACCAGGAAACGTGTGGCACTAAGAAATCATCCTTTATGCGACTCCTTCCGACTTCGTGATGACCTTGCCTTTTGCTGGAAAAAAGGGGGAAAAAAAACGAAAAAAGAAAACAATTAATCCCTAACCCCTCCCCCAAACCAGAGTATGAAAATTCCTCAACCCTGCCAAACCGAGGCATGCTCTCAGTCAAAATGTCCTAACCCGAGCGCCAGAGGAGAAAACTCGAAAGCGGGTTGGGGGGGCGGGGGAGCATATGACAGCGCTTGTCAGATCCTGAACAGGAAGTGCAACTGTCCGCATCACACATGGCAAGATAGATCTCATGTGGTTACATAAAAGAGTGATTAAACCGGCTACTTTTTTATAACTGCCTGCATACTGCCAGAATACAATACATAGGCCATCTACTGACACTGGTCCTGAGTATCATTCGGTTCTGATCCACAGAACTAGACAACATAATGCAATGCCAACGTGGAATGCTTTTCCTTCTGCAAAGATATTACAGCACCAAAGATCTTGCAGTACCCAGTCTCAATCCAGGTTAACAAGCACAATCCATCAAGACACCAGCACTAATCTCAGCCCACAAAAATTTCAATAAGAAAACAGATATTTAAATAAATAACAATAAAGGTCTCCTCAAAACTTTGTGGAGCAATATGAATATGGATATTTATGCTGATATGCTGGCAGACAAAACAACGGGGAGCTGGAACTGTGCAGGCCTTCTACCGTGGGTGGAGCCGTCATCCGCTCAGCAGGCCTGCCCGCAAAGCCCAACACCTCAAAAAAAAAAAAAAAAAAAAGGATCCGATTCATTGGCCAGTCACGGTATTCCTTAACGAGGTCTTCCTCGGGTCTGTCTCTGGACCTGAGCCGACAGGTTCCCGGATCCCTTTTCAAAAGGCGAAAAAAAAAACAAACGAAAATGACGAGATTTCAAAAATATGTAAATGTTAGGACTCTGAGGAGTCCCAGACGTCATGCACCTCTGTAGCAGGGAACGTCAGTGGGATTGCACCGAGCTTTCTGGCCCAACTGCTTGTTTGGTGCATTCGTGAAGGAAGGGCAATGGGGGGGGGGGGGTATACTCTAGAAGGGAGAATGGGTGAAAGAACAATATAAGGGGGAAATGGGGCCTGGCGAGGAGGGAGGCGGAGGGGAAGGCTGAGCGCCTGTATTGTACTAGGCTGCGTTTCTCGGATCTTGCAGACTTATCAGGTTTCCAGGGAGGAATAAGAAAGAGTCTGGAGGCAGACGTCGGCGCGTCCAGGCCAACACGACAGTCCAAAAGAGAATTCTTTCCTCAGGAAATGTGCTCAGATGCGATGCCCAAGCAAAGGACCACACCCCGGTAAAAGCCAGACGGGAGGCAGAGACACCCACGCATCTGACCTGCTTCCACAGGGAACCCGGTTAATTTGGCTTTATTTGTGCAATGATCACCATGGAGATGAAGCGCTCCAAAATCCCTGGTGGCTCAGGGAGTCCGATGGCTCTGTGGAGAGCAGGAAGTGTCAGGATCAGGCCTAGTCCTAATCAATCGCACAGTATTAATTGTTTAAAACTACAGATGTGTCCCGTCTCACCTCCTCAGACTTCAATAATATCAAACAAAGAAAGCGGAGGCTCTTGCTGATGTATTCATGTGGCTTTTTTTCTTCCTTTAACACATTTTTCTCCCTTCTGCTCATCGATTCCACCTGTGAATGCATACTTGTGCAAACAGAGAACAAAAAAAAAAAGTCCGATATGGCTACACATCGAAATTACTTTCCCCCAAATATTCAAACCACTAGATTCATGGAGAAGCAGCTCCTTCTTTGATGATGTTTCGAAACGCTCTCCTAATGAGGAAAACACACAGTACCCTGGGGGTGTGGGAAAGGGGGCGACTAAATTTAGCCTGTGCTTCAGTGTAATGCTACCTGATGAACTTTGAATTATTTCATGAATTGTTTAGTCTGGAAGAGTAACGTAAATGACAAGAATTTCATTCCTTTTTGTACAACAAATACATTTTTTCTCTTCTGACACAGTTTTTGGTGAGACCATTATGGTTAGGCCTAGTACGCAACGAGATTTTCCCTCTATTCAAGCAGCTAGTTAAGTAAATATTTTAGTAAAGTGTACAACAGAATATCCCTGCCTTATTATTGTAAATTACTGGTCACAAGTGCGTTCAGTTCAATGACCGATACATTTATACAAAGCAACTTGTTTATTTTACTCATATAAACAGCTGGACATCCTCACTAGAGCAATTCAGGTTATGCACCTTACTCAAGCCAGGTCCCTTCCAAGAGGCCAACCAACAATCTCTAGGTCTCGAAACTACAGCCATAAACACCAGGCTACTTGGTTCGATTTGCAAGACAAAATGTCCTCCATTCAAAACTACATACATCTTGCAGATCAGCCATCAATCTCTATGTGTACTGGGCTATTCCCACTGGCCTAATGTTCTTGTGGCAAGACCGAACACAGCTGTGGTTCAGGTAGCCACCATGTCAGACCCGTCCAAGTCCAGCTCAGTCTACATCCCTTGGAAGAGCAGGAGAAGCAAGTAAGGAGGTGGATGACAGAGGGGAGCAAGAGTGGAATTAGCTCAGCTAGAGCACTATCTGGGTAGCAATCAAGTTAAAACAAGAGCTTAAGATACAAAAGGAGAAGAGGTGATCACTCCTGCCACTATGTTGCAGCCCAACATCTACCGACAAACACCTGCACACAGTAGCATCACAAATGGATTCACATCACCCCCCCCCCTCCAGCTACGTTCCCAAAGGGTACTCAACTGCTTCTCATCATTCTGTAATGTTACATTTTTGTCATACACCCCTGATGACTGTATTAATGACAGATGCTATTGCATTTTTGTTCTTGTTTTCCCTTTGCTTGAGGTCACTTGAAACGAAGACGGTTTCTTTATAAAAACCCCATGTTGATTTGCTTGTGAAAGCACGCAATTCCAAGATACAATACTCCAACAATGGCCAATGCGAAATGCCAGTCGTATAACATTGTTAGGCTAATAATCTATAAGCATGAAAGACTCCTAACTTCTGCATCCTCCAAGGTTACACAGCACATTGAAATACTTCATTCTGGTGTGGTCTGCATTCACTAGCAACAACTGGATGGAGACAGAAATCAATAACTCATAGGTGTAAAAGCAGCAAAACTCTTAACTACTAAGCATGATACACTTAAATGATAATATTATGGGATATGGTACTATATTGGTATTGTATTCCATGTCAGAAAACAGTAAATCTGACCTATAACTGATAATCTGTATAAAATTAAGGCAGTTATAGACGTTAAGGTAAAACTGCCCTTACATAATGAATGTTTCCTGTAATTAAAATCAATTGGTAGCTACTCTACAGCATGCATCTCATGTAGCGAGTTTCATGCAGGGCACTATATCAACCACGATATGTGTAAAACATATTGTATACAGATGTTTTGTTCCACTGTACAACAAGGGAATGTCTTATTTTTGCGTCTTACCTACGGAAACATGTGACAAATGTTGTTTGAACTGACGACAAAAGCAGTGCTTTTACTCAAAATATTTTAAAAAGGAAAAATACATATACAGTAGTATGCCCACACTAAAAGAAACCTTACCCTGAAAGGTAATTATATAAGTTCCAATATATAGCATATCGATCAACCACTTAACTGCATTGCGTTGTGATGCAAGAAAATCACGTTGTCGGCAGTTCCGCTCTGAGGGTTAGAATCATTCCGTTCATTTGAATAAAAGGAGCTGGATTTCTCATCGTTAATTAAGCCATAAAATTAGCGAGGTGTTTATGTTTTGTTCGATGTCTATTTTTAAAGGGTAATCATGGGGGAAGAACCGTTAGGAAACACATGACTATAAGCGGATGCAACAAAACACGATGGAAGAGTTAGTAGATGTGATGCCAACGCATCAAGTGCAGAGAAGCTTCGGGAGCCAAATTCCGCTGATCTCACACGCATGCGCCGCAATACCGTCTCATCAAAGTGATCTGGGGTTGGTTTCAACTGGAAACACCATATCGTGTATTAACCGACTTTTAAACACACTTTCTTGACTGTATGGCTGAAAAAAATGTAGTTTTAACCATTCCATAGGAGACTGTAACTCAAGTAACCAAATAAGGTGTAAGTCCTACCTTTCCAGGTGTGCGCATAGGGCTGTGCGTATAAGACTTCCAAATGAAGTGATTGGGTTGCGTTTTGAAATAAAAAGGATATGGGTTGCAGACCAATTTCAGACACCAGCTCCGCGGCCGAGTGGTTTGTTTCAGGTAGAAAAACACCACCGGTGCCAAAGATGGATAGGGTAACGGCTCCCCGCCGCCGGCAGATGCCTCCTCCGCTGCGGCTCCGCTCTCCTTCGTCCCGGGTCCAACAGTCTCCGCCTCGCTGCGCTCCCCGCTGCCGGACAGGTCGTTGAGTCGGATAAAGGTCCTGGGGAGGGAAGACCTGCCCTCAGCTTCCCTCACCATACGGTCCTCAGACGGATTTCCTCCATCTTCGGCCATCATTCACCTCCTGAAAAGCGCAAGGATTAGATTTAGGAAACAACAGGCTGACATCTGACTTTTCTCGGTTAATTACTACGCAAGCATCTAATCCAGATCTTTGGGCGGGGGGTGGGGGTGGTAAAAGTCAGTCCTGATGTGAAAGTATTATGCAATGTTTGTCTTCATTAATTTGAGCGCGCACTGATCATCTTCACTGGTCTTGGAGAATGCTAAAGCGGCTATAAATTAGTAGGTGTCTAAACACCAGGTAAAATGGGCGCAGTGGTTATATAATCATTGTTACTACCTATTTTCATACAAATAATGTATTTTATTCATTTTCCTTTAATGCGATTTGCATTTCAAGTTAACGATGGAGTGAATACAACTACATTCCTATTAATGGTATGTTTTCGTTTTTTATAGAATATTAAGTATATCCATTACACATTATTACTTTCGCTGTCATATTAATAATGCATAATAAACAGTTTTAGTAACAAAAACAAATTGTTCACATGCACTTGTAGTCATTTAATTCCGCTTATCTGCTGGGTTCGGATCCGAATTAACATGAATGTTTAACGGAAGAGCGCGTTTAAATATATCGATTATCTTCGATAACCACAGTCAAATTTGCAACAATTCCCATTAATGTATCACAGGAGGAAACTTTATCAAGATGTGTAATATTTTGCAACTCAGTGCTTGAACTGTTTAAAAAGACATTCTGATGCCGACAGTTAAAAAGAAAGGAAAAGCGTACAGACGTCTTGTGCATTACCTACCTGTTATTGTCACCGCAGATATTCCCAAATCGAGCTCAGTCATCGCATGATCGATACTGGACACAAAGTGCAGCTCGGAATAAGTGGGGGATAATACGGAAAGTCGGGCGCACGGGGTGAGTTTCCAGGTGCGGTTTAAATCAGAAGCGGCTCTATGGGCATCGCTCTTCAAGCAGGTTTCGATCCTAGTTGTCATGGATTTTTCATTCCCATGATTTTAGCATCTGAATCTCTGAGATCTGTACACATCCGAAGAAATCTCTTGTTGCTGAATCCCCGACAAAAGCGTTGCGTTAATTCCTCTTCGCTTGTGTTTAAAATAGCGGCAGCAAGACGAGCAGCTCGGCTTAAATATAAATAAATATTTTAAATAATGAATCACAATTACTTTTTGTCATTCGACTCGCCCAGCCAGTTTTCGCAACTGTATTTAAAGCCAGTATGAAATTTCCGATACTTGTTTATAAATGAAAGGAAACATTTTAATACCAAGTATTGTGTAGGCACCAGTCAAATATCCAGGTTGCAGCCTTTTTTTGCTACCACAAATCGCGATCAGATGTATAGCCAAAGATGTGAATAAATGCTCAGATAATGTGTCTATGTATAGTTAGTTTTTGCCGATTAAAATAGGAAAACAAAAGTCTCTCCAGATCCCGTTAGTCGGCGAAGCGGACTGTGGCACCAATCCCCTCATCCAAGCAGCCTCACAGCTGGATTCAGAATCAACTTCATATCTCCACCTCCTTACCCGCCTCTCTACCAAGCAGAAGCCGGGAAAGCTCCAAATTACATTCTCATTGGCTGCAGCTGACGTCAATTAACGCTCAGCAAAAGGGGGGTAAACAGCTGGAATCTTATTGTCAACTGTTACCCAATAAAAAGCTGGGAAAGACCGAACCTATGAGACGATTGGACCAATTATTTATTATAAGATTTTTTTTTTAATACAGGAATGAGAGGGAAAAACAACTCAACAAGTAGCCTACACGTGATTCTTGTTTAATCAGAGGCTTCGCTGCATTCATCGAGGCTGTTCCTAAGGGTGTCTGACTTTTTATGTATTTTGTGTCTCTTGTAAAGAAGGAAATAAACTGCACAAAAAACATGTCAGCGGCCATAAATGAAACCCTATTTCCAAGTTTGCCTATTTTAGACAATTTACCAGAGTCTATCACAGCTGTTATAAGACATGTCAGTGTAACCCACGGATTACCGGTCCAAGTCCCAAGAGGCTATGCTATTGTACGCTTTAACAAAGAATCTAGCCGGAACACTTCTAGTAAGATGTTAAGTTGCATGTAGCGGACAAGATTGTAAATTGATATAGATTGGAGTTGAATAATTATATAATCGAATGTTATTACGGCTATGATTTTAATTTTGTTATATCATTGCTTCGTTTTTATCAAGTAATCGCAAACTTTATAAAACAGGCTAATTAAATGTATTCAAGTTGACACCTTTGCTTTCGTTTGTATGGCTAGTTGACCAATTAAGCTCCTTACCATGATCATCACATTCCGTTTTCTTTTACAAAACACATTAGCTTATTAAAGTCTGTTCTAGCTGATGTTATTTTCCACACACGCTCGTTAATATTCTTGGTTTAGTTTGTTCAAAGTTTTTTACAGTATTTCTATGCCATTGACGGACGGACAGAGCGAGACTAAAGAGTGCGGTAACCAAGAGTATTTCTTGTATTTACAATATATAAGCAACGTTTTCTTCGGATGAACTTAACGGAAAATATTATATGTGCGACACTATAAACCCACACTCATATGATGCAATTTTATGTCGTAATGTTCATCACAGGAGAATTGCACGTGAAGGGTATCACTTATAGCACCCATCTGTTATGTAATTAAAATTATGTGAAACTATACAGTAAGACACAGTAATCAGTCGGACAAAATGTTTGAGGTCAGAAGGAATTAAAATAATATAGATTTATTAATGAAATTAAAATACGTTAAAGTATTAAAAGCAATGGACAAAACGTGCACCGGGGTGGTTTTAATGTCTTTGACAGTGGAGGATGAACAGGGAGTATTTTTAAGACCCAGCACGTGTTTTTACAGTCATTTGAGTCTCCGTGGTGACTGCAAAGCTGGCCACTAGGGGAGGTTGTTTCTCTCCGAAGGCATCTGTTACGTGAACCCGCTGAACACGGCTTCTTCTGTTGGCTGCTCCCTGCTTGGGAATCGAATGGCCCCCAGTTAACCCAATTAAAGAAAGTTAAGAATGCAACAACCTTGAATATATGTAATAACACGTTTAAGGCATGCAGACTTCCTTTGCAAAAGTTATTCCCACAACACTGGCGTTGAAAGATAGCTGCACTTAAAACCAAGTGGACAAAATAATTCAGTATATTTTAGCCTTCCAAAATTCTGTGTTTGCTGTTTCCGTCTTAGCAGTCAAAGTCTCCAGAGCATTTATTATGCAGTTTCAACACATGTTTGCTTCTCTACTACTCTATGAATTATAAATCAAAATAGCATTAAATTCTAAATTGACACAGCGCTATTTTGATAGACTCCAGGATTCTGTCCTGAGAAGCAGTTGGAAGATGTATCAATGGACAGATGGATAAATATTAATCATGTGCTTTCAAGTTTTTAGTTATTCCTCATACTCTTTCATCCACAAGTTACAAAACACAAATGGAAGAGCTTATGTAAGGTATTAACACTTATATTGCTATTCGAGTCTGTGGGGATAAACAGCATGATAATACAAATCAAGACTGGATGAATCAGACATGTTTGTGGGGACATGAGCATACAGACATTAACTACAATCAAGTAAAATTACAGGTTGAAGATAGGAGCCTGAACGCAATGTTTTGATGGATACTGTGGGATCAGAAAATTACACAGACGTTGCATAAAATGTATGAATAAAAGAACATGCAGCATTGTGCATGAAGTAAGCCTTGAAAAACCTACCAGGGCTCCAAAATGGATGGTGCTGTCCAATCAGCTGTATATGTCTGGGATGTATGTTCTCACCATGTTTCAATGTTTATTTATTTATTTATTTATTTATTTATTTTTGCAATAAAATGTATTTTAGCGGTAGCACGGTTGTGAAGCGGTTAGTATTTTTGGCTCTGTGTCTGGCATTGGGGGGGGGGTTTCCCCCACAGTCCAAAAGCATGCTGAGGTTAATTGGAGTTACCAACTTGCCCATGGGTATGCATGTGTATGTGAATGGTATGTGTGTGTGTGCCATGTGATGGGATGGTGACCCATCCTGGGTTGTTCTGTGCCTGTGCCCCCCACCCCTCCCCCCCGTGAACCTGAATAGGACAAGTGGTTTCAGAAAATGGATGGATGGTACCTTTAAATATTATATAATAAGCTGCAGAGTGAGATATGTGGGACATGCTCTGTATCAAAATGACCCTGAGCAAACTGTTATTGAAGATTGCCATATGCATGCATGGATGGATTACTGACTGGGCCAGTGCCCTGGGGCCTCAGGCTGGAGGGGAGTCTCAGAGCATTGCAGGCATTAGTTGCAACATTTATAGTGCAAACTAAACACTATGACCTGCATATACAATGCGGATTTCCCACCAGGGCTCCCTGCATATACAGCAATAGATAACCATCAGGGGCCCAGGGCCCTTCGACATATACAGCACAAGGTAACCACAAGGGCCTCCAGCATGTAGAGTGGAAGCTGACCATCCGGGGCCCGGGGCCCTTTCCGCATACAGCGAGCGTGAACTACCAGGACCTGCGGCATGGGTGTAAATTACAGGGGGGATGGGGGATTATAATGCCCCCAATAGTAATCAAAACCGGCTCATACAACTCCTGCAATAATCATGTTTCTCCCAAAATGGGTGGAGACTTCACCTCCCCCCCCCCCAAAGTTCAATCCAAAGTTTAGCCCTTCACCTGCAGGCTCTCCGGCATCCAGACCCTTTACGTGATATGTGGACTATACCTGTATGCCCCCCCCCCACCCCCTAGGACAGGGAGGTCTCCAAAAGGCAGGTGCTCACTCCACAGGACCATGATCCAGCCCTGAAAGAACATTAATTTTATTCTCTTCCGTCACAAAGGGTGGTGTGCGGCTTGGCAGTTTAGGACGTGGTGCCTGTGATCAGAAGGTCCCAGGTCCAATATCTGGATCAGCCAAGCGATATCAGCATTGGGCCCTTGAGCGTGGCCCTCAAACCTAATATAAAGGGATAATGACTAACTTGGCTTTCTCAGTTGTATGTTGCTTTACATAAAACCATCTGTGAAATAAATTTTTGGTTCAATTATGAATTTACATTTACAGTATTGTGGCGAGAGGGTAAAAGACAGAAGACAGCTTCTTCCCGTGAAGGAGGATGAAAACTTTATTAATAATAAAAAAATGGAAAAAGGAGGATATAAAGCACAAAACCTCTGGCCGGAAGAAAAACGTACCTTGGAAATAAAAGCACATCTGCCCTTGGAATTCTGAGCAACTAAGAACCCTCTACAGTATTTGGCAGATGCCCTTAGCCAGAGGTACATAAGTGCTTAGAAGTCTAATCAGTGAATACATTCTGATACTGGTTCAATACTGTGCAATTTGTATCATTTGTAAGATTTAGTCTTAAGACTAGACCTGAGCTATATTCAATGTACTGTATGACTTGATCGTGGTGCGAGCCTTGATATTGACCAATAATGTAGATCTTTGTAGCAACAGAACACAATTCACACAATCGTGCTGCAGAAGCTACAGCTGAAGCTGGCCAAGCTAAATTCTATTTACAGTTTTGATGCATTATCACGTGACAGCTAGCCGTCTGTGGGGCTCATACTCTCTGCCTCATTGCTTTCCATCACACTTAAGCGATGCTGCAGGTACTGACATCTGAGAGTCAGTTGGAATCGACTTAACTGTGGCAAAAACAGGGGAAAAGTAGAAGGCAGCTATCTATCTCTGGTTCAGGGTATGTATCAGGACTCTCAAGAACTGTTTTCCTCTGATATTCTCCGGTATGTCTCCACCCATTGCTCTCTCTTATCTCCTCATAACACAATTTAAAATAAACTATTCACACACTGTCATTCACTGTCAGTCCTCTCTCTTATGTACATCTCACTGCACATACACAAGACCTCCCAGAAGAGTATACTGGTGTTAAGAGTCTTCAAAACAATCTTTTTAAGAACTTGAAAAGTCCTCGTATCCTTTTCCACTCACAAAAGAGAGGATGCTGCTTAAGCAAGTCTTTGTTAATAGAGAGTCATCCCATTTGTCCAATTTAGTTACACTTTTTATCACAACAAATGACTCAGGAAGGAGCACCAGTTAAGTCAAAGGTGACATGACAAAAACACATAAATAATGTAATCCTGTTATTATAAGGTTTTTACACTGGCTTGAACTAACTCAAATATTTAAGTTCCAAGATGGCTCTGCTTTACACAGATAATTGAGATGACCAAAACAGAACGTAACTGTACTATTGTATAGTGCTGTAGTTCTCGAGACCGGTCTTTTTTGTGGTCTCGGTCTTGTCTTGGTCTCGACTCTATTTGGTCTCTGTCTTGTCTTGGTCTCCACTCCATTTGGTCTCGGTCTTGTCTTGGTCTTGTCTTGGTCTTGGACATAGTGGTCTCGATGGGATGGGGAAAAAAAGAGAAAACAGCACATCCTCACAGAACAGTATCATTATTACACGCCTCAATTCAAATGCAACCA